AAGATGCATTGACACATACTTGTTCATCCGATGCCAGTTTGACAGTACTCTGAAGGTAGCTCTGATACATGACCAGAGGCGTTCACAGAGTCCAGCCTGCAATATCCACTTAACAGCGTGCCCTTACGGAAATCAAGTGGGAGTCTTACAGCTGCACAAGTAATCCGTGGTTGTGGTCGGGGGATTCGTTCCTAGAGAGTCTGTAAGTTTAGTGGACCTGACGCAGGTTTCATAAACACACTTCATAGTGTCTTCAATCGTTTCGCCAGCTTTGTTCTCAATAACCAAATGTCTGAGGGGACGTCAGTGGGTAGGTCACAAACAAAGAGATATTGATACTTACTGTCGTTTTGCCATTCCAGAAGATTTTTCCTGTTCACGTTTTCTCTTGCTGGAGGAGATTCCCCTGCTGAGTGACATCAGTAAGTCAATCTGTCAATGTCTAGGATGGAGGAAGCAGGATGCGAACCTACTCTTCTCTTTAGCGGGGGCTTTCTCGGCAACAGCGACGCCATCATCCTTTGACCTGATCAACGGTATGAGAGCCTAATCATACACACGCAGGCCATGACTCACCCATTTTCTCCCCCATCAATCTCATTCATGTTGTCCTGCGTCTTCTTTTTCAACGCCGTCGTCTTCTTGCGAGACTCACCCATGGGGGCTACGTCAGTATGCCCCATAGATTTCGCTGGGTCGACTGATCCAGGAATACGAGTCCCGACCGTGGACCGACGGGTTGTTGATGAACTATTGTGAAGTCATACGATGAACGTAATGTACCACAAGCAGAATGAGCGTACCGTAGAGTGCGAGATCGAGTTGTAGCCATGGGAGCTAGAATGTGGAGTCGTACTTGAAAAATGAATGAGTCAATGATGGTCAGCGGTGTTCGCCTGTCCTCTGTACTTATAGCAGAGTCGAATCATCTCACGTGAGACGAATCCAGCAAACAAGTTGCACGGACATGACAATAACGAGGTGGTGGTGTTTGTGTGCGGTATGGGATTGTCGAAGCTACATGCCGTGGGGAATGATCTTGGTGGATTGCTCGCTGCCGAACTCGATGTTCGAGAAACGGTCAGAAGCAACGCCCGTTACCTTGACAATCCCCAAATCTCAGCGCCCGCATGGCCCACCTCTTTACACAACGGTCTCGCCTGGCTCTTGTAGATCGGCGTTGCAGATGAAATGTGACAAGCCAATGGAGTGAATCCCGTTGACCCTGTCTCAAAAATGATGTTGCCAAGCATTAGAGAAAGCGGCAGAAGAAGCCGTGTAACTACGTCAGCATGATCATCGTGGCCGATCTTGGGATAGCCGAGGTAGGACAAGTAAACACATACAAATAGAGCCTCAAATAGCTTTTTGATGCGGTCTTCGGCGTCCATGAGATATAACAGGCGACGGGTTGTGTTTCTCTCTTCGGAGTTTAATCAGAGATGGGATGCAGTGGAGGTATAACGGCTCGCATCTCCAGAGGATGGAATCTTGGCTGGGTCTCGGAGATCAGCGTTGGAGACGTAATGTGACAAGCCAACAGAGCGAAGCCCGTTGTCCCTATCTCGGAGATGACATAGCCAAGTATTGGAGAAAGCGGCAGAAGAAGCCATGTAACTCCGTCAGCGTGACAATTGCGGCCGACCTCAGGGATAGCCGAGGTAAGCACATGTCAATACATACAAATAGAGCGTCAAATAGGTGTTTGATGCGGTCTTCGGTTTCCAGTCGGAAGCAGGACGCAGGCGAGGGGCTGTGTCTCTCTCTTCGGAGTCTGATCGGAAATAGGATGCAGTTGAGGTTATGGTGGCTTGCGTCTACACTGGGTGGAATGTCAAGTCAATGTCCAGACAGCGCGTTGGCCTTCTCCAGATATAAGAATCAGTAGAACTGACGGAAAATCCAGGTTCTAGCTCGTCATCGTGACCACAGACGTTACGCCAATCACTTATACCATGTCATCCGTTCTGAGTGGCCACTACGACGTACCAGCTGCTGGTGAGTGCTGGAGCTGTCTATCGGGGGAGAAAGGTCTGATCGAGGCGAACCATTTAGTTTCTTGCCTTGACCATTGCATCAACAACGCATCGTCTGGCCCGAACAAACTGATGCAAATGAGCTGCTTGCAGAGCGTAAGTTCATCAAATGAACCTTCCCCTGATCCTCCCTGACATTACGACACATCTTTGTAGCAGCGTGACTTGGATTATGCTGTTACCATTCAGAACATAGGTGTACCACGACGTTTTCGACTATGCAAGCGCTGTTCAAACGTCGAAAATTCATTTGAGGAACTAGTTTACCGGGCGCAAGGCATTGTTGTCGAGTGCAACTTGCTTCCTCTTACTCGCGAGTAAGCTACCGCCAACTTACTGCCGCCATCCCTCCTGATTGACGGAATGGTAGATCTACTGGAAGTCGCTTTAATCTTCGACAAAGTATTGTGCTCTCTGGCCTGGACAGCCAGATATTCGAGCAATTTCTCGACTCATGCGCGGTCGTGTACAACCTGTTCAAGCGTCACCTTCCTCCTAACTCGCTATTTCCTCTGGCACAGGAGACCATCCAGATCAACGACATTGGATACCCGGCTATCAGGTTCACCAACCCGGTGTTCACCAAGCCCGATGCCGAAGGAGTTACTCCCCATACGCAAAGCCTGAAGATTTCAGATGAGCTGGATCCAGCCGGTATACTGAGAAAGTCTCAAGGGACAGCGTTATACCTTGATGACAATGCAATCCATACGTTTCGAGTTGATAAATCAACGGGGTACGTCAAAAGCTGCTACTGGTTCATGTTAACTAACACGAAGGATAGAAAATTGCAACGGGTCTCATCCGGTAGCATCAGTGTCGGTGACATTGTAGAGGTTGAGTTATCGTTTTGGGTGATGAAAACACGGAATAAAAGATTCCGCATGGAAGTTGTGCCTCGTTCGATCCTTATTCTGGATCAGACATTCCAGGAGGCAAGTGGATTCGCATCATTATAGATCAGTTTGTAAATGTGATGACAGGAAGCTTTTGTACGCAAGATGCGCAACGACAGATACAATATTCTGACCACTATCAGGTCCACATCTTTGGGCTCTGTGCGTAGGAGAACTGCAGAGGATGATGGCTCGGATTTTACGTCGGGATCACGCAGAGTTTGCATGCGTATGACTGAGGACTAACATCGTTTTGTTCGCGCATATAATACATGATACACTGAAACGTAGAAATACAGTAACGAGCGACATACAATAAACCGTGGAACACGAGAGTAGTTACGATTGCCGTTGCTTCCCTTTCCCTTGCACGGTCCGCGAAATCTCAACGTATGCGGCCACCTGGCGCGTGGTGTTGGGAGCATTGGTTTCCTGTCGCAAGCGGAAAGGTTCGATGTTGATTTCGTGTTTTTCGAGCTGAGATTCCCGGCGCACAACGTGGATAATTGACTCCTCCAACTCAAACCGGGTCTGCAGAAGATCCTCCAACGTGGCTTGCTCCTCATCACTGCCCTGGACGGCGGCACTTTCATCAGGGAATAAAGGGAGTAGAGCCTCCCACTGGTTAGGCCAAAAGCTCTCCACAGCCTTGAACGTGCGCCTGAAGACGTTAGCCGGAGTTAGTTCTACCGTCTCCTTCTTGACCGGACGTGACTGAGTCGAGTGCGCTTCTTCGCGCAGACCCAGGATCTCCTCCTTCTTGGCGTATGCAATGAGTGCCTGGGCAAAACGCAATATACCGGCGTGGAAGACGGAGAATTCCTCGTTTGTGGGGCGGGTCGAAGTGTCGACGCGGATCTCGTAAGAGCGAAGGATGAGCCTCATGAAGTGCACGTAGATGAGCTTTGCTGCCACCAGCTCCTCGATGGTCAGCTTTTCTCTGAAGGAGGTGACATGCGGACGAAGCAACAAGACGTTGTGGAACAGGACCACGTTGCCGACCGCGATAACGGTGAGGATACCATCAACGGTGGAGATGTCCGGGCAGGTGCCTAAAACATTGTAAATCAAAGGGAAACGTAGATGACCGGATGATGATACGTACACGGATCGATGATGCCATCCTTATAGCATTTGAACCAGTATGGGAGAAGACGTACGACGATTCGGATCATCCCGATGTGCGCCTCGTTGCTGATCATTCTCTCGGTGAAGAGGGCGTGGCCCAAAGACATGACGGATTTCCTGATATGCGGGAGGGAATAGAAATGCTGTCCATAGACGATAGTCGGTTCTACGGTCAAAACGTAATGAAGAGTTCCTGGTTGCATGATCCTGCGAAGAATTTCAACTCTGGACTCTGTATAGCCAGTAATCATTGAAGAACTCACAAGCAATCCTTCTCCCGTAGCAAGTACATCTCGTACTCGAAGAAATCTGTATTTGCCGCGGACGGTTCAAAACCCTCAGGTACAGCATTGATGGTCTCCAAACCATGGTCGAAGCTCTTTCGCCTGGCAATACACCATAGCTTCATGCCTTGTACGATGACGACGGCGGTCCCTGCACCTTCCCCGTCGATATGCGGCCAGGAAGTAGCATCTGTGGTGGCAGCCGTGGCCCACGATACTGCATGATCGGGGTACGGAAACTCCTGGCGGGCCTTCAGCTGCATGGTTTGCCTGGCTGGTATCCAAGCAACACGCCCCATGTCAAGCCCTGCGCTGGAGATAAACCATACTTTAGGCAAATTATCCTTCTCATGCGAAGGGATCACTTACAGGCCGGCGATATCAACGAGAGGACGTTTACCAATCGGGATGCTGAGCGCGTTGTACACCCTGCCTTTGTGTCCGCCCTTCTTTCCTGCCTCGATCAATTCCTGGACTGGAACCCGAATGTTTTGAGCGCTGATGTTTTGGAGGTTCCGCTTCGACATATCTGCAATACTATCATCCTCTGCTCAGAGATATTGTTCAACATACGGACCTTGTACGGAGATTGTATCGTCTGGAGATAGACCCAACTTTGTCTTAAAACAAGACGTATCCCATGAAAACGTCCCCTCAATAGGGTGACCGTGGATGATGATATTCCGAGACGAATATTCCTCGAGCTGTTCCACCGTGGACAACGAGTTCCACCTCTCATAGGAGAACACCGAGACGAGCCGCGCTGTTGGGGTCACGTATCAGCATCAGAAACACGGCCACAGACATTAGTGACGCCTCACGGGAATCATCATCTAATGACATTGCGCTCTGTATGATCTCCTGCAGCAATTTGTACTCTACTTTGGCCTGATACCATGTCATCAATGTGTAGCACCGAGAACTAGTCACAAGAAAGGACTTACGACGCGAGGATGGACACAGAAGTCGCGGACGGCGGGATCTGGTGAGGTGCCGTCGGAGAAAGAAGGCAGTGGCACAGGAAGCACGAGCTCAGCCCGCTCCTCAGCCCCTAAAACTCGCTCCTCACCCTGGATAATTCCAATTAATCAATATCTCAGAGTGATAGTTACACTCACCAGCTTCTGCGAACTTTTCGATGCGGCGGGTGCCTTGTCCGGAATGTCGAACATTCGAAATGCCCGATTATAAGCGTTCTCGTCCACAGTGATGCGCTTGAGATCCTCGTGAGTAAATCCAGGCAACAAGAATCTGGGCTTCAGCGGCTTCAAATCATCGATGTCATCCTCGATGTTCTCCGATTCGGGTTCAGAAGGAAGATCATCGTCAGTAAGCTGATCATCCTCGACTGGGTCCGTGTCATCGTCATCGATTGGATCGATCTTAAGCTTCTTCTTTTTAGCCGCCAGCAGCTTTGACTTTCTCTGGAAGGAAATGTCTTCAGCGACGAGATCCGGCATCTTCTTTCCCTTGTTCGTCCGCGCACTGATTCGTTTCTGGTGGATCCTGTCATTAGTGACCTACAAGGGCACGGAAATCACGAAACCACGTACAGTAGTTCCATCGTCTCCTTGTAACGTCGGTCCTCCTGGACCGTCTTTATCCGGTTCGCCTGGACTATCTTCGTCGGGAATGACCGATGCCACTGTCGGCGAATCTACGCTGGCATTTTCGGGTTCGTCGGCATCACTAAGTAGCTCGAGTCTTCCAAGTTGCTGCCCTTGCTCCGGAAATGCTAAAAAACGCAGGTCAAGACATGCTACAGTATACGAAGCACCCAGCGTACCGGGGATGAGCGTCAAGAACCAGTCTTGCCGCGGGTCCGGGAGCTGTGCTGAATGCTTGTTCCAAAGCCTCGACCAATCCGAGAAGAATTTGTGCAGACCAACGACAGTCTCATACTTGCCGGCAGCGATATCAACCAGACGACGCCATAAAAGGTTCTCTGTGTAGACGATCCAAGCAGGCTTTTCTTTCTGACACTGCATGAATGCGCCCTGTGGATCATTCCACCATGAGACTTTATCTGTCAGATGATGCAGAAAGACCTACCAGCAGGAGAGGTGTCATAGCTCGGCGACCAGTCAACAGAAACCGGTGGAACAGCAACAGAGGCGAGAACAATGTAGCGTACGCACACGGCGTGTCGATCTGCATCGTTCTCAGGTGATCCAAGTCGGGAACGTTAGGACCGTTAGAGGCAATCCTCCTGCAAAGAAGAGTATATCATTCATCAACCTCAAAGACCAACTGCGAGAAAATACGAACTCTACAATATACTTCTGGATCGCTTTCCCGATGTCGAGCGATATATCCTCCCCTTGGAACAACACCCATCGAATCATGAGACACACCAACTCCACGTTGATGAGTATCCTTTGTGCGTTCATCGAGGACACTCGTTTACACAAGTTGCTCAGGATCCCGTCCATGGGCGATCTTGATCCCATTTCGTCGTCGACGACCCCTCGCCGAAACTCAAGCTTGGAAGCTTCGGTCTCTTCGAAGGGCTCAGAGAACCATGAGTACTCCTGAGCAATAGCGTCTCGCGCCGTCATGATGAAGTCTGGGATGTCCGGTATGTTGACAATCTATCCACCGCACGTGAATCGGAGCTCAAGGTCGTCGATATATTAAAGCATTGTGCGCACATTGGGGAAATGTTCGCTATACACCATGACGTCTGTTGACATACTCTGGGACACCGCAGTGCCCTTCAAAGCGGCGAAATTGACATCTGGCCCTTCCTCCATATCCAACGCAGCCGCCAAGCAATCCCACAATCGGTACAGCATCAGCACCTGGTGCACGTTTCGGAACGCCGCATCCCGAGATCGAGCGCGCGGAGCGGCGTCAAGGTTGATGAACTCGGGAGAGTCGGGAGGTACGGACATGCGACCAAGTAACTCCATGCGGGCTGGAGAGCTGTCACTGAGATCTTCGTCAAAATCTTGAACCTTCCCCGAGAACTGAAGTACGGTTTAGCATCACACACAAGCCAAGTTTGATGCATTACACACCGCCGAAAACTGATCGGGATACTCCTTCACCCTCAACATGAATGCATCCTCCGCATCTCGCCTCAACTTTTGCCAGGTCAAGAAGGTCACGATAATCGCATGACGAAGTGGCGTGAGGGTCAGGTCCGGCGGTGTCCTCCTCTTAGTTCGCACCCGCTTTCGTGGTCCCGCGTCGGTAATGGTCGCCTTAAGAACTCTTTTGCGTTTTGCCATTGCTGAATTGGGGTACAGAGTACAGAGAGAGCGTTAACGAGGAGGTCGACAGAGGCGAAGACGACAACAACGATGCAGAAAACGTGTCATGACACCAACATAGTCACGTGACCCATTGCGAGTAACTGATGACAATATTGGGCGAAGTGACATTTTGCGTTTCAGAACAAGAACGTTAGAGACAATAGGGAACAGCGTGGGTGAGTACAGCTCACCAAATTCAGATTGTAGCCACCGGTCCATCATCACCGTATCATTATGACCATCCAAGGCCGTCAAGACTAAAATTCTCGTGAGCTCGCTAGCATGAGGGAGCACGTATACAATGAGCACAGTAGAACCTTTGCGCGTGTCAGAGCCAGTTAATAATGGAACCGCGAGGGGTATTATAGAGCACGAACGTTATAACGTAGCCACCAGTCGCTCCAGTTCGTCACCTCTATCAGTATGGGCCCATAACCATCTGCGGTTGTCGAGAATAAAATCGGCTTGAACCTGCCAGCGTGCATTAGGAGAGGTACAGTGAACACAGAAAGATTGAAGATTTTGTGCACGTTGGAGCCAATTGGAGGAGAGACAACGACGACGGCCAGAGGTTGATGCACAGCAAGCCAAACGTGAGAATGTTTCCATGAGCTGAGCACTTGCGTGGCATGCTCACGTGCGCAGCTAAAGCCTGTCCTTCAGAAAAGGACCCCGCAACGCTTAGGCCCCGTTCCGTAATGCCTGACTCTGTGAGAATCAGTTGCCTGATTTGAGTTTGCTTAACTTTTGTCCTCCTCAGATGGCAAGCCCCTGTTCAATTATGTTACGTTTGTCTCACAACCTTACCGTTCATGGTATGCAATGCCGAGTCGAATCATCTGATTATTCCAGAATCGTGTGTCGCCGAACGGGGCCTCAGCTGATTGCAGTCCACCGCAAGCTTACTCACTACCTCCCATTCTCCTGCTCTGCATGTAGAAGTGCACCTGCCTAACTGGGACCTTGCCTCAGTACAATGTCTCTCGCTGCCTCGTGCTGGACATTTGCTTCCGAGGAGAAGCACCCTGATCGCATTCCAGAAATCAAGGCAGTTATATCGTGTCCGATACACCGCACGCCACTGTGATCGCTTCGCATAACAAATCCCTCATCCGCCATGCGACATACCTTAGCGATCGAGTTTGTTCCGGCGTATTGGAAGCGAATATTTTGAATGGAGTGTTCTCGGCTCGGATGACACGGGGAACTCGAGGCTCAGGGACCAGGAGCTCTGCACGACGAGGAAGCACATAGACGTACTCTCTGAGTTGAAAAAATTAATTAAAAAACACATCCACTCATACTATACATGCCGGAGACCATTACAAGAGGGAGAAAAAGTGTCACAACAAATGCTCCATGAAATCCGATCGCCTCATGACATTCTCGTAACGGGAGTCGGCGTCCAATCCCACGGTGATTTACATGCAGATACCGAGCATCGGATGCGCCTGTCATAACCGAGAGAGTTTGCCGTCGGAAAAACGGACACGGAGAAGCTGCAGATCTGGACCAGTGTGACGTGACACCATCCGATTATGTCACATGACAGTTCAGAAGTCACACTCCCACGGCAACATCTAGCGGAATGATGACGGGCTTCAACCGCTTGGTGCTGAAACAGGGGCTTTGCCGCGCAGAACGGTTTGCTACCACAGATCGGACAAGATCTCCGAACCGTGTGATCTGTTTAAAACCCCGTATTACGACATCGTAGCTCTCTTCGCATTATCTCAAGGACGGCAAGGAAACAATCCCCGAGTACACGGAGATAACCGCCGTGAACCTGACATGTCCGGAAATACATCCGATTGCCTCATAAAATTCTCCTAACTAGAGTCGGCGTTCCCACAGCAATTTACGTACAGATACCGAGCATCGGATGCGCCTGTCATAACCGAGAGAGTTTGACGTCGGAAAAACGGACACGGAGAAGCTGCAGATCTGGACCAGTGTGACATGACACCATCCGATTATGTCACATGACAGGTCAGAAGTCACACTCCCACGGCAACATCTAGCGGAATGATGACGGGCTTCAACCGCTCGGTGCTGAAACAGGAGCTTTGCCGCGCAGAACAGTTCGCTACCACAGGTCGGACGAGATCTCCGGACCGTGTGGTCTGCTGAAAACCACGTATTACGACATTGTAGCTCTCTTCACATTATCTCAAGGACGGCAAGCAAACAATCCCCGAGTACACGGAGATAACCGCCGTGAACCTGACATGTCCGGAAAGACACCATGCAATGTCAGAGTGCGCAGGGTCGCGCATGGCATCGGCTGCCGGGAAATCCACGTTTTCACCCCACTCCGGGAGCGGGGCTATGCTGCACACTCCAGATTTGAGAGCTCACTCAGCTGCTGAGGGGATATAAGGACAGCACTGGACTGGCCTGTGGTCTCTCAACGAGCTACTAATATTGCTTTCATACGTCTCTCGCTTCCTACGACAAGTC